AAAAAAAAAAGCTTAAGTTAAAATTTCATTAATTCAAATAGACCATGAAAATTCAGAAGACATTGGTATGTGTGTGTGAAAAGGGAAGGGTAATGGAGAAGCGGGCAACTGGTTTTACTCCAAATTCTTTTTATGTTTTCCCATCATGTCAGTTTTCTATAAATGTCATTTACTATCATTAATCCTTAAAGATAGAGGGCCCAAAATTGCATTCCACGTTTGCACTTACTAAACTAAGGCCCCAATTGTTTTCCCACAAACGTATTTGTGTGTCTACCATGTGCCAGGCACTGTCATTGGCACTTGGGATATAACAGTGAATAAAATAGACATGGAGTTTAAAGTTTTTTTTAAGCGATCAGATCTGTCCACCAAGATGATGCTGTCTTACTATGGCATGATTTACCACCTTCGTCTGAAATCACAACACTGATTATCTCATATATTTGACACTAAAATTGGAAGTTTACAGAACCCTAGTGCTTTTAAATTTCTCTACATGCTATCCCGGTCATATCCAAATGGCAGGTTAGACATGGGTCTGGAGTGAGGTAGACCATGGCCTTTGTGTTTTCCAATGCACAGGCTGGGCAGCATGTATAAAAGCCAGGCCAAGCAGGAAGTTGGGAAGGGCTCTGAAAACTCTGACTCAACACTGGGGAAAGGGTCTTCCCATGTCAGCAGGAAGTGCACAATGTGCCAGTGAGCACTCTAGTATACTACCGGGCCTGGCCTGGGAAGCGGACCCAAGAGACCTGGGGCAGAGGAACAGACTCAGGGCAGAAACTGCCAGCACAGGGCTGAACCTTCAAAAGCTCCTGGGACAGCCAGGTTTCCCAAAAGGGAAGTCTTTTTTTCTGTTTTGTTGGCCAGGCTCACTTCTGTAACTGAATCAGAAAAAACTAGATGGGAGTGGGATGGATGGAGGGCAGGGAAGAAGCCACCAAAATTGCTCAAAGCAGAAGAAAACCATGTAGAAAATGAGATGGCAGAAGGGCAAAAGGAGCCTAGGGGCTGCCAGGCCTCAGATTAGAAGGCAGGTGCACGCAGATGTGTTTTAGCCAGGGGCTCTCCTCAATGACCCACTGACACTTGGAGAGGCAAACATGTCTTGGGATAAGCTTTAGTGAGTACTGATCATGCTCCAGGACATATGATAAGTCCTGGGGATGGGATGTGTACAAAGATCATCTCTGCCCCCTAGCCACTTACGGTCTAGTAGGAATACAGACACTAAACCAGGCAAACAATAAAGTGACTTCTGTGATGGGGTAGGGACATGGAATGATGCAACACATCCTAAGGAACACCTTCAAGCAGTCAGAATGAAAAATGCAACTTGAAGATGAGGCAGGTGGTACCAAAGTCTATGACTGATTCATATATATACACATACTTTTTTTTTTTTTTTTTGGCGGAGGGGGCCTGTAGAAGTACTTTCCAGAGCGGAGGGTAGGGAGGTTGGGGAGGGATAACATGGGGAGAAATGCCAGATATAGGTGATGGGGGATGGAGGCAGCAAACCACATTGCCATGTATGTACCTATGCAACAATCCTGCATGAGCTGCACATGTACCCCAGAACCTAAAGTACAATAAAATATATACATATATATTAAAAAAGAAAAAGTAGTCATTTCCAGAAGAAGAAACAGGTTGCAAGAAGGACCAGGGCTTTGAGAGAGTAGTTGTGGACTAGATAGATGGTCAGAAGGAGAATGCAAGATTCTCTAAGATGCTAGAGAGGACAATGGGGCCATATCTGGGGGACATGTAGATCACTGCAAAGACAGCAAAGGGAGCCAAGTAAAGGGTCCACACAGGCACACAAGAACATGATGTGGAACCGGGCATGGTAGCTCATGCCTGTAATCCCAGAACTTTGGTAGGCCGAGGGGAACAGATCACTTGAGGCCAGGAGTTCGAGAGCAGCCTGGCCAACGTGATGAAACCCTGTCTCCACAAGAAATAAAAAAAGTTAGCCAGGCATGGTGGTGCCTTCCTGTAATCCCAGCTACTCAGGAGGCTGAAAATCAGTTGAACCCAGGAGGCAGAGGTTGTAGTGAGCCAAGACTGCACCACTGGATTCCAGCCAAGGTAACAAAGCGAGACTCTGTGTCAAAAAAA